GATAATCTGGTCATGCATACGCAGAGCTGCCCTAAAGGCTAATCACCCTAGTACAAGGCCCAAAGCCTATATGTGTACGAGAGTGGGTCCTAAAGACCTCTGATAATCTGGTCATATATTGTGGAAACACATTTGCATTAGTGCAGAGTATATTAATATTAAATATTTTTGGGTAGGTACATTTATTTTAAAAACTACTGAAAAATACCCATGTTATTTTACCCACTCCGCACTAGGGTGATTAGCCTTTGGGGCAGCTCTACGTATGTATGACTAGATTATCAGATTTGAATGGCTTTGCCTTGTACATCGAGATAATATGAAGCAGTGGTTGTGGATCTGGCTGGTGTTCGACAGATGTCCCGGTAATTCTAATCCCAGTGTTAACAACATATTCGTTGGTGAAAGTCGAGATCCAGACACTTGGATGATCAACATGGAGAACGTTGATAGGTTCAGTATTGTTTGTGAAAAACGATACGTTTTAGAAGGTCATGGTTATTCGGATTCTTCGATGGCGACTGACGACGGCAAATGTCCTTACTTTTGTTACATGCGATCGAGACCAATTTCTGTGAAAAAGAAACTTTGTAGACTCAAAGTGTATAAGGATACGACTTCCGGATCCGTAGAGGACATGATGAAATGAGCTTATTATTTAGTTTTTGCTACCTTTCATGAATATGCAATGGAAGTTGCATTAAATGTACGAATGTGGTTCAAGAGTGTTTAATAAAATGATATATATTCATTTTTCATTTCCCAATCCGCTATTACATGTTTGAAATTGTCCATTGCTTCGTGGAATGCATAACAGAAATTATAAATTGAAATTACACCTAAATTACAGAGATTTTTATGGATATAAAAATAAATTCGTTGGGATAAAGTCCCAGAAATCATCTTCTTCCACGATGGGTTCTGCAGTAATTCTGGGACTGGTTGTAATGTCATCCAGATGCAGATAGTCCACCATGCTCTCTTGATTCCCAGACGCTTCCTCAGGTTATGGTTGAACCTTATCTCCACGTTGAACACGTGATGCCATGGCGAAATCGTGTTCTGTCCAAAGTGTTGGACTCTTATCCATATTGGATTGTTTAGGTTCCAGTAATACTCCCCTACTTGTAGTTGCTGCCATGTGAGTGGCTCCCTTGTGGACGAATCCATGATTTCGACAGTCGATGGTCTGGTGTGTGTGTATATATATATATATATATATATATTGAAAATCATCCTTATCTATTTCTCATGCTGGAATAAATAATTTTTTGGTATCTCATATAATGTACTAGAAACAATGCATATAAGATATAATTTCATTGATATTTTAAAAAAGTAAACATTTCCACTCACAAAGTACTAGTTACAAGCTAGACTGGCGATAAACGTTTTCAATCTCCTCGTCACCACCTGAAATACGATATGCATAACCAATTTAACAACCACCATATTAAATAGTCTTAATATTAAAATACAAGTTCCTAAAACTTAATTCCTCCATACTTGAATAAATTCCCCAAACTTTCTTTAATCAATTGGAGCTAATTCCGCCTACTAATCCCTTTAGTAGCATGTAATTCATCAGAATTACTTCCATCCCAATCATAAAAATAATTATCCTTTTCAATCTAGTGAAGACTAGTAAGGAAAACTGCAACCAGTTTATTTTACATCTTGTTCCAGAAAATCATTCTTTCAAGTGAGTATTTCATCAACTCCATCATTTCTCTGAACTATATATACTCAAGAGTCCAATTAAAATTGTAGGGTTTGCCAAAAATGATATTTCTTACCTTAATGTAAATGGAAGGTAATCAATCAAGGAATTTGAACTAACAATGATACTCCTTCAACTTAATCTGAAAATTAAACCCACAAATTAGAACCCTGAAAATTCAACATAAATTAGTTCACAAAAATGTTACTGCTTTACCTCTTGAAAAAATGAAGAAATTGAAGTTAAGCTTCTATTGGCACCTAACTTTCTTCCTTCTTTTCCCTTTTTCTCTTCATTTTCTTCCTATTTTCTTTCTCATTTTTCCTCTCTTTTTCGGTATCTATTTTTTGTCTTCAACTTCGTGTGTGTGTGTAAAAAAATGAGAATAAATGGGTTTCAATTGCCAAGTTAGTGGGGCTTTAGCAAAAGAAGTCCCTTAACTTCAAATGATATATAAGCAAATCCTCAACATCAAATCTAACCCATCTTAAACCCTCCATTATTGTAAATTATAAAGTAAACCCCTATAAAATAATTTATTCCACATAGGCCCTTATTTGACTATGACTTTGACTAGTCGAACCTTTTACTTTGAAATAAAATCTTGACTTGTGGGAAATGGGGTGTGACAATCTTACCTCCTTAAAAGAATTTCGTCCTCGAAGTGCGTCTGACAATTATCTAGGCTGAGAATAAATCAGGATATTGATCACACCTCTGACTTTCATTCTCCCATGCAGCCTCTTCTACTGCATGATTTTTCCCTAGGACTTTTACAAATGAAATTGCTTTACCTCGTTGAACTTGCTCCTTTCTGTCTAAAATTCTCACCGGCTCTACTTCGTAAGTCAAATTCTCTTTCAATTGAACTAGTTAAGACTCTAGAATATGAGATAGATTAGTAATATACTCACGAAGCATAAAAACATGGAAAACATCATGACTTCTAGATAACTCTACTGGCAAAGCTATACGATACGCAACTGGGCCAATCCGCTCTAAAATCTCATAAGGTCCTATATATCGTGGACTCAATTTTCCTCGCTTGCCAAATATCACCTTTCCAAGGTGATAATTTCAGGAAGACTTTATCTCCAGTTTCGAATGTCAAATCTCTTATGTGTCTGTCTGCATAGCGTTTTTGTCTATCTTATGCTACCTTAGGTTTATCTTGAATCATTTTCACCTTTACTGTAGTAATTTGAACAAATTTTGGGCCTGCTAATTTCCTTTCACCTACTTCACCCCAACACACTAGTGTCCTACACTTTATGCATAAAGGACTTCAAATGGAGCCATCTATATGCTCGACTGATAACTATTATTATAGGCAAACTCCATTAAATGCAAATATGTATCCCAACTGCTTTTGAACTCTAAAACACAAGCCCTCAACATATCCTCAAGAGTCTGTATGGTCCCCTCTGACTGGTCATCGATCTGGGGATGAAAAGTTGTACTGAAATGTAGTTTAGTACCCATGGTTCCCTACAAATTAGGCCAAAATTTGGATGTAAACCGAGGATTTCTATCAAATACAATAGACATTGGAGCACCATATAAGCTATCTATCTTATCCACATACAACTTTGCTAACTTACTCAAAGAATAAGTAGTTTTGATTGGAAAAACTCTGGCAATCTTGGTCAAATGATCTACAATCACCCAAACACCATCATAAGCATTTTGAGTACAAGGAAGACCAAATAAGAAGTCCATGCCAATGTGTTCCCACTTCTATTCTGGAATAGGCAAAGGTTGTAGAGGTCTAGCTAATTTCTAACGATCTGGTTTCATCTACTGACAGATCAGATATTTTGATACAAATTCTGCTCTCTCTCTCTC